CAGTCTCAGCGTTCGCGTAAGCCAGATATCTAAGGGGAGCTTGGAGGAGGCAAAAACCAGGGTGTCAAAATACACTTACGTTTGATTAATTACTCGCTCCTCCCGTTTTCCACCTGACGTTTCATCAACCAGACTGCCTTTAACGTGCATTAAAACACGTCCTTCGCGTGGTTTCAGAAACAACTGAGACGTCTTTAAAATTATACATTTTTTAAACTTGAACTGGCATTAAGATGGGGCCTGAATATGTGTTATTGCTAAGCCCCCCCCCCCTGAGGGGTCGCTCCAAAATAAAACTTGCCTGTTGATGCGAATATAAATACTTTTCGTTTCCGTAACAGAATACCCGACGAAAAAAAAACAAGGTAATTTTTGAAACCTACGTTTTCTGTAGATTAAATAACAAGAGAAGTTCATAATAACTGTTTATCTCAAAATACTTTGTTAAACTTTGTGGACTACTCGTTTCATAATAACAAGTAGCCGGACATACCCTCGGCCCAATGTGTTCTTAAGACTAGGGTGCAAGTTTATGGATGAGGTTCCAATTTTCAACAAACAAACCAAACCTCTTAGCACAAACACGATAATACAAACACAAACGACAAGACGTCGCTTGACGGGGTAACAGCCTGCAGGGGATTTGGCCCCATTCCAAGGCCGAGTACATTGCAAGAGCCACATATCTTATGGCTAAAGAGGCTTACATTACGAATGAAGGTCACCTGCCGGGCAAACCTAGAAGCAAACAGTCAAAGCCTGTTAGGCCTGCACTTTCTTGACTGGATACGAGCACGTGAGTTAGAAAATGACAGTTGTTCAAACTAAAATATGAAACTTAAACAGCCTTTTAATTTTGAGTCAGTACACCAAATAAAAAAATAAAAAAGTCGTTTCCATAACTTCTTTGATACTGAATACTACTATCAAATATTATTCTAATATATTTATTCGAATGTTATGTTCATAAGGTAAGTTTGTGTTAAACACGAAACGCTGCACTAACATGTTAAAATAATACAAGAACGTTAAGAGAACAGCATTATCGTAAAATTATCTGTACCATATACGGACACACTAATGTTGATGAACTTTCGATAATAATACAAATCCATAAACATTGTCGCTATTGTTTTTACTTTCTGTATACAACCATTCAACATTGTTATGCTTCCATGACAACTGTTTTTAACTTTCTGTGTACAACCATTCAACACTGTTATGCTTCCATGACAACTGTTTCTAACTTTCTGTATACAACCATTCAACACTGTTATGCTTCCATGACAACTGTTTTTAACTTTCTGTATACAACCATTCAACAATGTTATGCTTCCATACGAACCGTTTTAACTTTCTGTATATAACCATTCAACATTGTTATGCTTCCATACGAACCGTTTTAACTTTCTGTATATAACCATTCAACATTGTTATGCTTCCATGACAACTGTTTTAATTTTCTGTATATAACCATTCAACACTGTTATGCTTCCATGACAACTGTTTTTAACTTTCTGTATACAACCATTCAACACTGTCATGCTTCCATACGAACCGTTTTAACTTTCTGTATATAACCATTCAACATTGTTATGCTTTCATGACAACTGTTTTAACTTTCTGTATATAACCATTCAACATTGTCATGCTTTCATGACAACTGTTTTAACTTTCTGTATATAGCCATTCAACATTGTTATGCTTCCATGACAACTGTTTTTAACTTTCTGTATATAACCATTCAACATTGTTATGCTTTCATGACAACTGTTTTTAACTTCCTGTATATAACCATTCAGCACTGTTATGCTTCCATACGAACCGTTTTAACTTTCTGTATATAACCATTCAACATTGTTATGCTTTCATGACAATTGTTTTTAACTTCCTGTATATAACCATTCAGCATGGGCGTTTCTTTCGTCTGCGAGTTAGGCCAATGGTAGAGATCGGTAATTCGGAGCTGACGAGCTGGATTCGAATTCGTGTAATATTACAAAATAATTACCACATTTTACGCTTTAGGTGCGTAATAAGCATGACAGTCAATCTATTAGCGTAAATGTTGGATGGTAAGGATGATACTGATTGGCTGCCTTCTCTCTGGTCAATAGTTCAAAATTAGTGATGGCGGCAGATAGCCTTAATAGCTTTACCATAAATGCAAATACTGTAAGCAGAAATTACCGTTATGTTTCCCTGACTTTGTTTTTTCCTTATGCAGGAGTGTTTTCCCCCTATAAAAAGATAGTTAAGTAGCGCTGTATTTCAGGGCTACCATTTTTGTTTCTCTATATAAGTAACAAACATTACTATGTTTCCAAGACTGGTGTTTGTTTTTGTTACTATATATATATATACAGAGGTTGAGTACGTTATATTAAAACGATTTTGGAACCTCACCACGTCCGGTCATATTCTATCTCATGGCCATGCATTTTGAAAACTAGCCTTTAACTTCAGCACAGTTTCTATTGCAAAATACTCCAACGTAAGTCTGCATGTGTTATGTCCAAAACATACCTCTTCTCCCTGTAAGCTTTCCATAAGCTATAGGCCTGGCATGGCCTGGTGGTTAAGGTGGTTAGGTCGCGAGTACAAATACCGTCCCACCAAACATGCTCGCCCTTTCAGCTGTGAGGACGTTATAATGTAACAGTCAATCCCATTATTCGTTGGTAAAAGAGTAGCCCAAGAGTTGGCAGTGGGTGGTGATGACTAGCTGCCTTTCTCCTAGTCTATCACTGCTAAATTAGAGACACCTAACGCAGTTAGCCCTCTTGTGTCTTTGCGCGAAATTCAAAACAAACCAAACCATAAGGCATCTAGTGTATGAGGACGATGGTTTTCCATGGTCCGTTTGAACAGTTCGATCACACAGAAATCCATAGGCGCTGCACCCGGTGACCTGTTAGGTATTTCTTCGTATGGAACAGGATGAATACCCGTTTCATTTTCCAGCTGCTGGAGATATGCAAACTGTTGAACGGAGTGTATGACCGGAATAGTTATTTTGATGAACCCATATTCTTCTTGTTTATGTTGCCTGTGGCACGTGGGGGGCTTTTTCGTTTGTTTGTTTGAAGTTAAGCACATGGATACACAATGCTTTGCCCACCACGGGTATCGAAACCCGGTTTCTAGCATTGTAAGTCCGCAGACATAACGCTGTGCCACTGGGGCACGTGGGGGGGGTTTTCGTTCATGGATTCTCAGCTGTTACAAGATAACACACTTTTCTTTTAACACGGCTGGGGTAAGACTTGTTGCTGGTCTCTTTCTGGATGGCCCCTAGTAACCAAAGTTGATCCATATTCCTTTATTTTCCAATTTGTTAAAAAGAGGAGATAACCCCGACTTGGAAACTCTAAATCTCCAATCTTACCACACCATTATAATCTGACTGAACGAATATTTTGCTTTGGAAAGAGCTATTATATTCATTACCTTTCCAAAATCGAGAAATTTTCGGTGGCACAACACTACCTACCAAACGCTAGACAATGTCGAAATATAGTTCGAAAAAATTCCGTTCCATCGTGACGTTATAGAGGATATGGTCGTCAAATGATTTGTTAATTTCCCTACTCAAAATCAAACAACAGAACGTATTCAACCCTCTGTAAAACCATTGAACACTGTTATGTTTCCATGATTTCTGTATCGTTTTTTTCGGAAAGTAAATGTGTTATATTTAAGTTATTTCTTTTCTTACATATAATACTATTATAACGACACGCCCCTGTCCTAACAACACAAGTTTTATATGCAAACCTACAGAAACAGTATGTACTCATTCTCTTTATAAGAACCACGTGAAGATAAAAATTCAAACTTAAAAGTTTCCTAGTCAAGGAGTAAAAGTAATGGGAATAAAATAAAACACGTCCATAAAATTTTGTATGATATGTCTCAAACGTATTAGATTAACGTAGCATAATTTGTGGAACTAAAAACTCTACCTAATATGTTAGGATAAGTTGGTATTAAACATGGTCGATTAAGTAATATTCCCTTCGTTTAACCTAGTACTAACACGTCTCAGATATACGATAATTCTTCCTTTAATCTGATGGATTAATCTAATACTAAAACGTGTAAAAAATAAAATAAATCTCATCTAATCTGTGTGATTAATCTAACTTCAATACTTGTGAGCATCTAAAAACGACTCATTTCAGCCTGAGATGAGTCGTCTTTTGATACT